TTTCATTTTCGAAGGCTAAATGTTTCTGAATTGTTTGGTGATTGGTGTTGAATGTCGAATTCACACCTCTGTTCTTTTTTACCTCCATGCTTGCAGTTTGATCTGCGTAATAATTTCTGAAATAAGAATCCGGGCTTGGTCAATGTGTTTCCACCAAATAAAGTTTTAATACGATGTTATAATTATGACAATCACGCCATGGATCACGCTAACTCGAATCCACTCTGAATTTATCTGTATGTATGTCGATCTCGATTATTTTTGTTATCCAATTAAACGCCGCTTTTAACGCACTTGCCCTCGCCGTGACCTGACGCGTTCGCCTATTTCAACAAAATGTCAATTTATTTCCACGCGGCTGTAATTTATTTAGTAACTGTGATTTGTCGTTTTTTAATTATTTTGTAGTGATCACTACAGTCTAATGTTCAGAATATCAAAATATGTTCTCTTTCATTTCAATTTTGAAAGTTCTATTTTGTCCAGCGACAGTGTACAAACGTGCGCCGGTGTCGGTGACGATCACGGTGACCAGCTACACCAGAACGGACATATTTCGCATCTAACTCAACCCCATGCAACAAAAATTGATACTATGTGTTCATTATGGTCTATTCTTCCTCGACGAACAAGTACATAAGTGACAATATAGTCAAAGACGAGAAAACTGCACAAGAAATTTGCCTTATTTACACGTATCGGCAATGCAAGCTGCCATGCGACTTCCCCTTCTGACGTCACAAGGGGAATTTCTGTATGCAAATGAGAAGCTAATGAGATGCCTCGTTTTAAAATACACAAAAATAAAGTTGCCGAAGACTGAGTTTAAAACACATTTTTTCACTTAAAAAAAATAATTCATGCTTAGAAACATAAAAATTTATAATATTTATGTATCAATTGATAATTTTAGGCGTGAAAATAGCAGCCATTTCACAGGCACTTTAAATATGTGCATGGGGTTAGTTGGCCTTTATAGATTTTAGAGGTGATTTTCCAAAAATTGTATTTTTGAAAGTTTTTTTGTGTGTGTGTGTATATAGTGTCTATTGGGAAACTTCATCGTGTAGTGGATCTTTCCATCATGATTTCTAGTAATTAAACTATATAATCAGATCAATCAACTTAAATTAACAGCGTGGACAATTTTCAACACTGTACATTAAAATTCCTTTAAGGATGTAGTAGACATAACAAGTATGTTATAGTTAGGCTTGATATTTTCATATAAGAATTGTCCTGAACTATAGTAAACCATATATTTTATGAAACCTCTTATCTCACACTTTCTGAAATTCTGGGTAATTTTGGATAGAATTTAATGGTTATCACGTGACTGCTAAGTAAACAAACAAAAATGTTATTTTTAAAAAAAAAGAGTACTGCAGGAAACTGGAACTAGTTAGATGAGTAACAAACATCGTAATGTTAACCACAGGGTGTCCCATCCAATCAGGTGACAAGATTTTTGCCCAGCGAGATGCATTTATTTCACGAGACCAGCTTGAAATGTTGGACCGCGGTCACTGAATTACACTCAATTTACTTTTAGTTTATAACAAGATTTCTCGCCAACGATTATTGTTA